AAGCGAAAGGGTTGGAAGCTCCTTGCCCTAGTTAGGATAAAAAAAATTGGTCACAAATGTGTGTCTGTGTTGTTTTGACCATATGCTAATGGTAATATGATTAGTATCTAGACAAGCTTATAACACATCTAATATTTCAGTAAATATTTGTCATCTTTTGTGAATTCAGATTTTCGTAATTTCACCTGGCACCTGCTATTAATAACTTTTCCACGTGTAATCAAATACAAAAGATGTCAAATGATATAAGGAGGAAGCAAACAATGGTCACCGAGATAAATGTGGTTATGGCTGCGTATCGGTTGATTTTGTTCGAATTTGAAGTATATTGGTTTAATTTATTGATTATTGGTTTGTAGATATACTAGATTTGTTATTGAATTATTAAGATATTGACTTATCGATTTATCGATTATTGATCACAATTTAATTATTAAGATTTGATACAAAATGAATATGTTGAAAAACATTAAAAAACAAAGTGACAAAGCAAGTGAATCATACACACCAGCACATGAGTTAACAGATCCATCTTGCTCAAAAGCAAAAAAAAACTAACACGTTGTATTGAGACAACAAGAAATAAAAATATGAAATTAAATCCTAAGTCAAGAACTTTATATACCGAATGATATATATAATTTATTAATTTACTATAGAGTTATTGGTTAACCTGTTAGAAAAAAAACTTCAAATCGTTAAAATCAATGACTCGATAATTAAAAAAAATAAAATTATTATCCAAATTACAAACTTAATAACCCATCATCAATAAATCAATAATATTACAATTCGAATTATCAATTCCATTTGGGAGAACCATAAAATAGCATAAGAACAAAGAGTAGTATATAAAAAGGAATAAAGTATAAATACCTTTAGCACCACCATAAGAAAAAGTACAAATAGAAAAGTTTGAGGGGGAGAAATAGAATAAGTTCAAATTTCGAAGACCATTAATGCAAAAACCTGAAAAACATTCTGGTTCGTAAATCAAGAAATGGTGCTTTACCTCTTAAAAAAAAAAAAACTTGTCTTAACACTTACCATATTTATTTCTGTAATATATTTTCATTTGCTTCTTAAATACGTCTCGATTTGCAACCCAATATTTTGTGTCACCAGCAAAGGCAAGGGGCCTTCATGTCCTTCTCTAGGGTTCAATATATGTTCCCTTCTTCCTCTTTCTTCCTCAACTAGCTTTTCCTTCTCAGGTATTCTTCCAGCTTTTTATTAACTCAAAGTTACAATCTTTTTATTTGTTTCATAAAGATCTAATTCTTGGAAATTGAATTTTGATTTGGGGTTTTTTTTTAGTTTGAAATTCCATGTTTTTGAGGTTTATGTTGATTTTGTCTCTATGAATATGAAGTGGGTTTTGGTTTTTGTTTGGAATTGTAACCGTTAAAACCCTTAAAGGGTCTGTTTTGATATAAGGATTTAGCTGAATTATGGTGTGTAGTCTTGTTTCTGTTTGTGTTTCCTTTTGGAAATTTTGTAGGATTTCTATATTGGGTTTTAAAAATGTTGGGTTTTTTTTCTCCAGTGTTAACTGATTTTACTTTTTCTTGTTTGGTGTTATGTCAATTGCAGTCTGTCTTAATCTTATCAAAAAAAAGGGGAGAGATTTTGTTTAGCGGGTGAAAATGCCTTCTTCAGATAGTCGTGGTTCTTCGATGCCATTTGCCTCATTCCGTCGTTCAATCATGAGTATAAGAAGTGAACAGGTTCATTCCGTGGAATTGAATCATGATTCTACTGTTCAGGAGATTGAGCAGGGAGTATTTCAGAATCTAGTGGCTACTCGATTTCAGGAACTGTCGGTTGCTTCTGGTGATGAATTCCTTTCCATTGCATGGATTCGGAAGTTACTAGATGTGTTTAACAGTTGTCAGGAAGAGTTCAGAATCGTGTTGAGCAACAATAAGGAACTCCTCTTGAAATCGCCTCAAGATAAGCTTTTGGCTGACTACTTTGATAGAACTATAAAAGCACTTGATATTTGCAATGCTGCCCGTGATGGGACTGGGAAAATTCGACTCTGGCAGAAGCATTTGGAAATTGTGGTTTCTTCATTGGATTCTCGACAAAAGACGATTGGCGATGGTCAGCTACGTCGGACTAGAAAAAGTCTAATGGATTTGGCTCTTGTGATGCTAGAAGAGAAAGAAACTGGAACCGTTCTTTCCCAGAGGAACCGTTCTTTTGGACGCCATAATAAAACCAAGGATCACCAGCGTCGTCCTTCTGGGCACTCAAGGTCTCTATCTTGGAGTGTGTCTCAATCTTGGTCAGCATCTAAACAGCTCCAATCAATTGCAAGCCACTTGGTTCCTCCCCGTGGACATGAAATAGCTGCAACAAATGGGATAGCAAACCTTGTCTTTACAATGAACTTTGTTCTCCTGTTTGTACTGTGGGCTCTTGTTGCTGCAGTCCCTTGTCAAGATCGAAGCCTCCAAATTCATTTTTCTATCCCAAGGCAGTTCTCATGGAGCAATGCCCTTTGGTTGCTTCATGGTAGGATAATGGATGAAGCTAAGAAGCCAGAGCGCCGCAATTCAAATGGATTGTTGAAAGAAATATATAAGCTAGAAAAATGTGTCCATCACTTGACTGACTTGATAGACTCTGCTCAATTACCGTTGACCAAGGATCTGATGGAAGAAATAAAAAAGGGTGGAGAAGATTTATCAGCTGTCTCTGAAGTTCTTAAGACTGGTCTTACTCCACTAGAACGCAATTTAAAGGAAGTATTCAGAAAAATTATGAGTTGCCGGGCAGAGGGTCTTGAACTCCTGGGAAGTGCGAATCAGCCTTAGACTATATGTCGTCTTCAAGCTCTAACAAAATGAAAAAACATATATACATTCCTATTTTGGTTATACTGGTATTAAAGAAGTAAAAAAGGAAACAAATGTAGCAACTGTGGTTTTAGCAGGTAACTGTTTGTATGCACTACTATACCTTATGTAAAACCAGTTTCCATTTTCATGTTCTGGATTGTGATGGTTTCTAAATTTTTTAATTTTTTTTCCTTTTTCTGGGAGGGGGGTGGAGAAGGTGTTTTGTCATGATTATACTTTTACTTGAATGCAGCTATTGATTTGTTGTTTCTCCTTGGTGACATACATATTAACTGATGAATACATGACAATCCTTGTATTGTCAATGATGTTGAAATTTGAGGAGCTGATAAGAGTTGTCAGTTCTAAGTTCGTATTTACCATATGCAGAGATCGTCTAACAGTAATTTTGGCCTTGCAGAGATTTCAATGTCTTTTAGACGCACAATGTTAGGAATGTAATTAGCTCATTCACAGGTGCACTGAATAGACAACCTTCTTTGAACTGCAGGGACAAGTGCAAGATTTTATCTTATTCAACCACCTGATTCTTCGCGTCTTAGTGTTTTTCTTCACCATTTCTTACCAGCTGCAATCAAGTGATAGATATACTTCCCCTGAAGCTTAAATTAAGCATGCATCATTCAATGTGATTGTAATGTTTTTGAGATAGTCACTTGGTTTACTGGATTTATGCATTTCTGCAATTCCCATTCTATATTTTGGCTAGAATAAATTAAGCAACTGCCTCTGCAACTTGGAATTCTTGTCCCATGTTACATTATCTGCAGGTTGAGTTACCCTTATCTGGGACATTTAAGACAGCAACTCCTGAGTATTTCCTGTTACTTTAATTATGAAATATACCTTATCTCAATTTAATGTTGAAGTTGATACCTTTGTTTTATTGTCCTTCCATTTTTTTGGTTCAAGCTTTTTTATGTTTATTAGATATAAATAATTATTTTTTTGTCAGTCTCACATGTCTGCAGCATGCAGTCATCCCATTTGTCAATAAGATGGGTTGCACATTAAATTTGAGCAGTTATTGTTGGTCCCTCCTTAACTTGCTATCTAAGACCATGTGAGAACAGCCTGTATCAGGGCACATGACAATTGTAGTATGATTAAAATGAGTTTTAAATTAGGTTTATATATATATTTAGTAAGCTTCTCTTTTGAGGCGAAAGTCTATCGGAAATAATTTTTCTACGGGTACAATCTGCACATGTCTTACCCTTTCTACATTACTCTATTTGTGGAATTATACCGAGTATGTTATTAGACTCCATTGTGTGTTGTGATACTAGAAGTACATGAAACCAAAACAAGAAATGAAATTGGCCTTACATGTTTGTTTTATATTCAAAATTAGTGATGGATATTTAAGAGAGCATAATAAGAATAATAAATATTTAATACAGTACTTGTTATGTTAACAGTCAATTCGTTCGATTTTAAATCTTATGGTTGGAATTTTCCGAATTCTGATTTCTGATGTGACATTTGTCAGACATGATGCTATTTGCTTCCTCTTACAACTGTTTTGGATCTTGCTGATTATGGATCCCACCATACTTTTTTGTTGGCCAGGATGTTCAATTATGTGTCACTTTGACAATATTGCCACTTCAAATATATACAATTTCTCATTTAACATGATATCAGAATAAATCTTATCTTCGAGATATTACCTAAAATTTGTCACAAACAAAAATGTTGAGAATAACTTACTACCGAATGTCATGTCCCATGAGGGGTATTTCCTTACCTTTGAATCGACTGAATCACTCTTTTAGTTTAGTAAAATTGGTGAATCGTGGGAACTAGTTAGTTACATCATACATGGGGTCAGTTTCCGCTGTATGGGTAGCAATTGGGTGGAGCAGGCCTTGCCTTGAACTACTAAGATTTTAACCCGCCCTACTCTGCCATGTTTTGCTCTACCATGTTTAGCATTTTTTCTATAAAAAAAAAAAGTTGCCCTGCCCTGCCCCTGATCAAATTGCAAGGCACAGGGAAACAATGCATTACTTTGATTAGATACCAATTTCACTGTGGCTAATCCAAACATTAATTCAAGACTTGGAACATAAATACTTGTATAAATAAGAACACCTCTTATTGTAAAAAGAGACACTACTGTAACATTAGTTAGTAGTATAGACATATAACCAAGTAAGTTCATCATTCTTCCCTGCAACCAGCATGATATGCCTGCGGAAGCTAAAACTACAATATATTCTCTTCTACTACAGAAAGCTTACAAGCCTTTTACACTACATACCCTAGTCATATGCATAATTCATGATAGAACTTTGCAGCTTTTTTCACCTTCAGTGCTCTCTTTAACGGTTCTGTTATCTAATAAGTTAAACTACAGACTATGTGCGGTCCCAAATCCCTTTGGTAACCAGAACAACCTTTTCCTTCTCTGAGTTCTCAGCAGCTCCAACAGAAGCACCATGTCGATTCTTACTTCTTATGGTTAAGGAGATTTGAAGACAACCTACCAGCTCATAGATCGAACTCTTCGCAGAACTCTAGGTGGTCTTCGCTTCTCTACAACTGGTATCAGGTTCTCCATAATCTGCACGGAAATAATATGAAAATGAATATTGAACTGTGAACAGACACATTCCAACAACTGAAAGCAACTTCCCAACACATCTTATTCAGACTGCAAACATAAAGCTCACATACAAATCTCATTTTAAAACTAGGCTAAAAAAGTAATACCAGTCTTTAGAATTTGATATGTATGACCACACAAAATAGTGGACAATAGGGGGTAATTTGGATCTTTTGGAACCCCGCCACTTCCTTTTCCCCATAAGACCCAGGGGGTTACTACACAAAAATAAAATAAATGATCAATATCATGAAATTTTTAATCTTCCATTGGACTCCTTTAGCTCTTTCAGTCTTCTCCCAAGATCCATTTTTGTTTCGTTATATCTCCCTTTTCTCACACTATATACATATAATTAGATTAAAAGGATAACTACTTCAAAGTTCTCTAATTTAGGGGAAAAAGAGCAGCTTAAGATGTCCCCCTGTAACAAGTTTTATTGAAATAACAAGAGCAGAACAATGCAAAGCCAATGATAAAAACTAGGATGACTATCAGAATCAGATTCAGGTTCATGCAGGAGGAATTACGTCAAAAACAGATTCAGGTTCAATGTAGGATCACCCAAACACCCGATAGATTGAAAATGTAGAACAGCTTCTTTTTGATTGGTCCAACATACCCTATTCCATCCCTCCATTCAAAAAATGCAGAGTTTGCTTCACGAAAGAGGATGGGAAGAAAAGAGAGCCTTGATCTTAGTTTAAGAAAATAAAATGACTGTTTTAGAAAAGGAGAAGAAAAAAGAAAATAGCAAAGATCATTGATCTTAGTTTAGGAAGATTCAAGGTCTTCTTAAAAAAAAAAGAGACAAGAAAGACTGTCTTAGGTTAAGTGCCAATAGAAAGAAACTAACCTTCTGATCGCAAAATTACTACACCACTGAGTTTGATATCTTTAATCTCATGGGCAAGTAGCACATAGACTATCAGAAGGCAGAGTTGTAGTAAAAAATCTCAACCTCCCTGACCCTTACACTGACATTAACTCAGTATAAGATTGATGTTTTAAAGAGGAAGAACCAATCTCCATACAAGCAAAAGTGTAAGCAAGAATACAAGAGACATTGCAACAGAGAACTTCATGGAATCATCTCCGAACTCTAACTCACTGTGTTTGACACATACAACTTATATACGAATGCATAAGGTTGTATCAAGAACAGTCTATTTACATGCATAGGTATGAGTACAACTGCACAAAAAATGTTTCCTAATTCAAAAAGGAAAGAAAGATAAAGAATTTAAGAAGAATCAAAATTTAAAGGAGTTCTAAAGCTTGTTTTGAGAGAAGTTCCAAACACTATTATTCACAGGAGTTTGAAGTACATATATCTGACCGACAATTCAATACTCTTGGAGTTATCCATCAAGATATAGATTTATGAAGAAGAAATCAAACAGTTGTCAATTCGACACGTGTGTGCATATATTTGCTACCGATTGTCTAGAGTTGGAGAATTGCAGATCTATAAGTAAGCAGGTAAATCATTTGGCAATGTTGCATAAAGGACTACCACATGAAGAACTAGTTGTTTATAAACTGCTTGACCCATTCCTGAATCCTCACACAAAAAATAGTGAGGTTGGAGTTCAATTTGCTCAGTTAATTGGTTGAATTCCTTTCCGTGTCCACAAGAGAATGAATAGCAACAAGCAATAATGTCACAAGAAATGAACAAATTCAATTTTATATAAGAGGTGGAAAATAACAAAACTCAGCTCATACAGAGAAACAGAACATAGTACCAAGGTTACTGCAAGCAACACGAAACAGTAAGAGTAGAAGCATGTCTGTGTTTATTAGACAATAGAACAAGCACAAGAATATAGAATTAATCGAGCAATACGTAAGAATATATACACCAAGAATTTCATTTCTAATGCATCCTAAATTTTATTACTGAAGTGGCGTAGTATTATAGCACCAAGGAGCGAAATTCATACCTGCTTAAGTCTCTCTTTATTCTTTTCCTCCTGCAAAAGGCCAAAAGAATTGGTTGTTTTAGAAATTTCTTGGAACATACTATCCTACATGAAACTTAATTTTACAAGCTCCAAGTACAAGAAATCAGAACTACTAATAAGTAGCATTACAGTTCTTAAAAATAAAATGAACAGAAAGAAAACGTGCTTTTATTACCAAGAAGATGGAAATTTCACAAGTACCATAAAGATAGGAATTCAACCAAAGACAGAAGCCAAAATGATGTATTGGGTGGGAATGCTGAGATGAGTGAGGCTACAGAACAGGCTAAAAACTTTTGTGTAGAAGACTGATTCAACTTTTGGAAATCAAAATTATAATACCAGCCAATTTCACTTCGAAAAACTTTAGATCAGCTTGAATGCTTTTATTACCAAGAAAATGGAAATTTCACAAATCACAAGTACCCTAAAGACATGAATTCAACCAAAGCCAGAAGCCAAAATGCTGAGATGAGCGAGGCTACAGTACAGTGCAACTGAAATTCATAAAGCTAAAAACTTTTGTGTAGAAGACTCGTTCAATTTTTGGAAATCAAAATTATAATAGCAGCCAACTTCACTTCGAAAAACGAGTTCAAATGAAAAAGAACAAAACTTTCCATCAGCTTGAATTTTAAACAAGATCAACCACACTTTGGAAAAGAACTTAAACTAACCTCTTCCCTCACCAGCCTTGCATTTTCCTCCTCCAATTGTGTAACCAGAGACTCCAATTCCACTGTATAAGCCTGAAATTTCATTAATAACACACATGCATGTCTCAATTTTCGCCCCAAAAACAAACAAAACCTATGATCATCCACATGATTAGAAAATCAAATAAAATGAAAGCAAAAAAGACACCTGTTTTCGCTCTCTAGACCTGGCAGCAGACTCTCTGTTCTTGATCATTCGTCGCTGTTTCTGCTGTGTAGCCCTATCAGCCGGCAACTCCTCCACTGTTGACCTCCTCTTCCCTCTTCCACTCCCAGTAATAGCCACAACCCCATTTCCAAATCCCATGTGGGGTTGGGGTTCCATACCATACCCCCCTGGTCCATTCTGCATGGCCACCGGAAACTGACAATTCCCAGTACCCATCATGTTATCCACCACAAACCCTCCGGCAGACGGAGCCCCCGTGGCTGGAGGCGGCGGCGGAGGAGCGATCACCGGAACTCTAACATCCTCCTCTGTAACCGCCCCAGCTTTGGTCAAAAAATCCTCCAGAGTCATCTCCGGCTCCCTATTCCCTCCCCCTCCTCCTCCTCCTCCTCCTGCTACAATTTCCCTCCACACCTCATCAACAGTCTTAGTAGGCCCCACATCATCACCACCGCCGGCGGTGGAAGAAGGGGTATGGACGGCGGCGGCTGTTGCAGAGACAGAACAAGCAAAAGGGTCGGAATCAGAGTAAATGTTCTTGAGAATTTCATCCATGTTCATAGAATCGAAGTTTCTAGAAGGATGAGAGTGATGTAGAGAAGAAGATGAAGAAGTTGGGTTTTGGGGATGTAAAGAACGATCCGAATTAGGCGTTGTAGATGCTGACGGCATCACCTTTGACGCCATAGTTGCCGACTTCGTAGGGATCTCGTTTCTCCCTTCCCTTTTCTTCCTCTGAAAATACACAATAACTGTTTATTGCTCCTTATAATTTCACAAACTTTGGATCTTTTCCCTTTTTCTCTCAGCTTTTCTTCTTCTTCGTCTTCTCCAGAGGCGTGTAGAACAGAGTGACTGCTTACTTGAATGTGGAAAAGAGAAACTCCTAACTAGTTTGTCAAGTTGGAGTTATTATAGCAGACAAGTGTTTTCAAGTATTTCCGTCCAATTTTACGTGACACTATAATTAAAAAAAGTTAACTTTTTTAATTTTTTAATTTTAATAATATTTTTTTTCTTAAATAGTGTCTAAATTTTATAAAAAGTTTCATCTTCTGATAAATATTTTATTTATTTTTGTGAGATAGAAAATTATTTATATAATTGAAATTTAGATCTATTCATAATATTATAAGACAGAGAAATTATTTTCAAAATATCCTATACATGAAAGTAAAAAAATAGGCCTATTAAAATTTTATAAAAAGACAAAAAGTATATTTTTAATAAAAACTTAAAGGAAAATAAGCCTATTAAATTTGAGGTACTATAGTAATCGCCGCCAAAGAAAATGGGAAGGGTTGAAAAGTTAACATGTTATACCATGACTAATATTTTTTACTTTAAATTGCAAAAAGAAAAAAAGATTTTAGTAAAAAAAAAAAAGGAATTAAAAGTTTTCTCACAATTAAGTTTTATATATATATATAAAAAATGGTTGTATTCTTATATTAAAAAAATGCTTGAAGTATCATAACAGGTTGACTTTTTGATAAATAAATGAAGAAATTTACAGCCGGCAGGAACCGCTAAAAAATGCAGACATCTACAAATTTAAAAAAAATATTTAGGAGGAAATTGTTTAAATATATCCTTCGTTATATTTTCAGTTCAATTATTTCTTACATTATATTTTGATATAAATATATCGCTAATGTTAACCAAAGGACACTTGTGAACTTAGAAATCAAATAACCCACCTCCAATTTAAATACCCAATTCCCTTTAGAAAGCCACGCCACGCATTTGGTAGAGAAGATGATTATGAAAAGGGTTTGGTTCAAATTGGGTATTTAAATGGGGTGTTCTTTCGTTAAAATTAGAAATATATTTGTATTAAAGTATAATGAGAGGGGTATATTTGAACTGAAAATATAATGAAAAATATATTTAAACTATTTGACACTTTTCCGATAGTAGAAACACAAATTGTCTCATCAAAAAAATTTAGAGAGCGTATTAATTGAGCTTATTACATGATCTAATTTATATGCTAATAATTAAAATTGAAATTGAAATAATTGAGAAATGCGTTAATTCTCCGGAAACAATTTTTCAGTAGATTCGTTTGTCTTTTTCGAAAGCAATATTCTTGGCGCTATCCGACAAGAAAAAACTTCTGGAATCGGATCGATTCAATGTATGCGGAACTTCCTCAACTTAATTACTCCTTCCGTCCCGGTACTTTTCGAATTTCGGAATTTAAACAAGTATATTTTTTATTATAAATTTTTTATATTATTTTGAACTGTTAATTATTGTGACTTACAATACTTTTTACGTAGTTTATAAATTATAAATTTCATTTTAAAAAAATTGAAGATTCCATGTGTAAATTTTTGGTCAAACATAAATTATTTAACTCTCGAAAAATGAAAAGTGTCACACAAATTGAGACAGAGAAGTACTATTTTCATATAATTTTAGTTTCTTTCACTAATTATTTAGTAAAAAAAAAACATTTTTTTAAAAAGATACTGCGTCGAAGATGTCATAGTTTCGTTTTGAGAGTCAAATGATACTTTCACTGTTCCTGATTATTTGTCCACTTTTTTATTTAGTTGTTCATAATTAATTGTTTATTTTGACAAATCAAGAAAGGACAAAATATTTTACATATTATACTCTCAATTAATTATTTTGAAAAATGTAAAACTTCTTAAAAATCTTAATTTTTTAATTCATCCACTTCATAATTAATAAGGGTAAAAATGGTAAACTCACTATGTCAATAATTGTTTTCTTAATAGATGTGTCAATTCAAAAATTGTCAAGTAATTAAGAACAGAGAGTGTATAAATTTGATTAACAATTTTTTTTATCATATTGATATAAAAAATTGTAACTTGTTGTATTTTTTATATAATTTTTAATCATCTAAATCTTTATTTTGAAATTTCAAATTAATGCAATCTAATATAACTTTTAAAGTTAATTAAATTGATTTTCAAAAAACACAATATAACATTAAAAAAAGGACAGGAATTATTATTTGATCCTTTACTTTCGTCCTCCGTTTTTCTTTTATCAAAAATCAAAGAGAAAATGGTCAAATACCCCTCCAATCTATATTTGGATTTTCAACTACACACTTATACTTTACGGGGGTCCTATTACCCTCCCTAAACTATTTTAAAATGGATTAAATACCCCCTTAAAACGTGATAACCAGTCATCTGCCTTGTGGTGAGGCACACGCACTTGACACGTGTGTTTCACCAATTAAACTTTAGAAAAAAGTTTTTTCTCCTTCTTCTTCAATCTTTTTGCAGCCCTAACTTCTTTTTGCGAAAGCTTGATTTGGAAAAAATATTAGGGGATTCATTGTGGGTCTTCTTTTATTTTTATTTTTTTCCTCACAAGGTGAATTCGTCAGGGCTCCATCCTTTTCACCATTGTCATATGAGAAATCATTGTTACCACCTCCACCTCCATCTTTATCACCTCCCTAATTTACATCGAAATCCAACACCTTAGCACATCTTTATCATCTTCATTTATAATATCTCCAAGTTGTTCATGATTTCCTACCCCATTAGTTTCATCATCTCCACCATCCCCATGATTTTTTTTCCTCCTCTAATTCTTTCTATTTATTTAGGTATTGATTTTGCAAGAGTATTACATGAGTTCAAAAAATTGTTTGGAATTAACAATAAAGAATTCGGTAAAAATGGGGTGGCAGCAACGACTATGGTGGTGGCAACACCTATTTAGAGGTGGTGAATGATGGAGAGATTTGTTTTATATCGCTATGGAGAAGAAATAAAATAAATTAGAAAAATAAATAATTATACATATATTTATTAAAAAAAGATATTAAAAATAAAATTTTAGTAATAATTTTTTATGTTCACTGAAATACACTCACATTGCCAACTAAGCATTTAGGGAGGTAATTATTACAATTATAAACAGTTCAGGTGGGTGATAGGACTCCCACAAAGTTAAAGTGTATAGTTGAAAATTCGAATATAAATTAAGGGGGCTTTTGACCATTTTCCCAAAATTAAAAGCATAGTAACTAATTGCGTGCCAAAGTTCCCTTGCTACCGCATAAGTATTTTGTGTTTAGAATTCTTAAATACGTTATTCCTATTTTTTTTATTTAATTAATTAATGTAATGATATCAGTGGGTTTTACGTGTCAGACTTGATTTCCTTATTTTGTCCTTTTATCTCTTTGTCCCCATTTCAAAGAACTTCTTTGCATCCCTTTGCACCTTCTATTTTTATTTTATTTTAAAAAGCATTTATTCATCTCCCAAATAAACTTGCGTGCATGAACTAATTAAAAGTTTCCATTATTATTTTCAACTCAATATTTATTTATTTATTATAGAAGAAAAAAAGGTCTAAAAGACTTCGCTATTTGCAAGTTGCGTACAAGCCTCTTCCAATATTTTTTCTAAAGTAAGGCATGGGAAACTTCTTTAGAAATCTTGAATTGAAAATTTATCAAAAACGACCTTCCTATATTTAATATATATGTGTAAAATATCATAAACTCCATTTTATGAGATTCCACTGGGTAGGTGGTGGTTGTTGTAAACTTGATTTTAACCATTATGCCAATTCCTTTTGGACACCAAAGTACAAGTAACCATTAATAAGATTAGCCTTACAAATCTTATATCAAGTTGTTCAAAGCTCCTAATATTCAATTGAAATTCAGTCTCTACACTAGAATGATTATGATACCTATAAATTATGTTGTAGTATACATCGAGAGGCTTTTGGAACAATCTTGTAAAAAGGGAATTCATATTTGGTCAAAAAATGATGGCAGAAAGAATTGTAGACAAACCTAGTCCTCATCGTAGCCCCCTTCTTCTCCAGCATAACCCCAGTCATCCTGTGGGGCTTGATCAGCTTCAGCAGCAATGGACACTTCAATGTCCATATCTTCTGGAGGAGCCTCAGATTTGTCATGCACAACTTCCACTTGCATTAATTTGAGATTCTCCTGACTGAAGAACTCAGCATAGGGCTTGGAGACCTAAAAGGGAGGCCAAATAAACGAATAAATGTTAATTGGATCACAGAATTCAAGGATGTAGCTGAGGTATAAAAAGGAACCTTGCGAAACTTGAAACTTTATAAACTGCACACAATGTTGGAGGAGTTCAGCAAAGGGAAAGAAAACTTAAAATGTGTACCATTAAAGCAAACATTGTTTTGGAGTGTAATAAAGGAAGCTAAAAATTGGACAGCACAAGGATAAGGAAATTATTTTCCTAAGTCTACTATACAAGGCCAACACAATTCTTTTTCTTTCTTTGCTCCTAAGGAATTGGGTGTTCTTTATTTACCTCATCCCTCAAGATGGAAAACACATAATTATGCCTTCAGTTTATACCTTATGGAGCACATTTCTCTTCTCCGCGCTCTCAACTAAATTTTGCCAACGTGCGTCTCTTCTTAACGTGGATGCAGAACCAACAACCTAAAATCAAAATGAAGAACATTGTTTACAGGACATTAACTGTCTTACAAAAAGTAGGATTGAGCACTAGAAAATTATCATTTTCGTTTGCTCAATGAATACCAGGACAGAAGACCGAGCTCTGGTTATGCCAACATTCATTCGCCGATAATCAGCAACAAAACCAATGCCTTTATCTTTGCTTGCTCGAACACATGAAAATATTGCAACGTCCTTTTCACGTCCCTGTAACAAAGTGAAATTATTCACTCTACCAAATACAGAGAAGAAGGTGAATTAAACTATCAATCAAAATTGATGGTCTTCACAGAACCAAAAGCCTGAATCTCATTTAGCACAATTCAGAGCTAAATGATACAGGAAATCTGTCAGAAAAAATCAAAGGATTACCTGGAAACCATCAACAGTGTTGATATC